ACAGACCAACACAGCAAAAATTACAAACAGCAAAAATTGCCCTAAGCCTTTCGTACTAGAAAATTGGTTAAGGGATTTCAGGTAGCAGAAAGAATAACAGAAAATAAAGGAATAGCAGATAAACATCGCCTCATTACTCGGTGATCAGCCGATTATGTGTGTGCGTCCCAGAGCGAATACGTACTGCAATCTGTGTCGTCTCGACGCCCGTCTGTCGTGACATAGATGGAGGGGCGGGAAGTCCGGGCGATCCGGTAACGGTTATCCCACTAAGCCCTGGCTGTTGAGTTTTGGGACTCAATGGCGTGATTCCTGTTACCCTTGGGGGCCACTGGGTTTTCCTTGGGGGAGAACACAGAAGTTATTTTTCACCTGAACTGTGCCTTCAAACAACAGTTTCGAGGCAAGGTGTGAATTAGCGCAGCGTTGATCTGACCTAGTAGTTCACACCTCGGAACTGCTTTTGCGAAGATAAGCTCGCAACACGTTTGTACGGCAGAGTGATCAACAGGAGCTAGGCTTTCATGGTGTTCGGTGGCTTATGTGCCTCTTAATATGTACATGCTGCAAGCGCAAATTCACCCTTGACCTGATAGTACTCTGTCACACCTTCGTAGTTACCCCCTATTTATGCATGTGCACCATAGATATCTCTCAGCTAGAACCGTTCAACCGTTAGAAGGTCCTCTCCTGACATTAACCGACCTTGTCTAGAACTAAAAATTTAAAGGAAACAAATCAAGTGTTTTGATTCACTTGCAGATACATTGGATACCAAGACTTCAAAAACCACAACTGCAACAACTTCAGATAAGAATGCATCTAAAAAGGTTGCGAACGCTTTGTTCTCATATATATTCTCTTCAGTGGGTTTCCTCGTCACCGAGACATTTCCTAAGACTTTTTCATTGCAGATATGTATCTCCATTCTTATAATGGCCTTGGCAGTCGTTATTGTATTCCTGCTATTGGCTGTGGTAGCAACAGTGTTTGTATTCCTTCACGTGATTGGCGTACTTTCCACTATTTCACAATTTCTTCCTTATGAATGTTAGGCTAATAAGAAATGCGATGTAATTTAACTGGTCCTTCATTAGGACGAGCATCTGTCGTATTAATCTTCAATAAATATAAATAAAGTCTTATACAAGTGATCGTACTCTTATTCCAAATACTCACTCGGTTATGATAAAACCATCAAATCTACTGGATCGCCAGATTGACTAGTACTCATGGTATCGATAGACCCTCACAGTCTGCCCGATGTAGCCTGTTCCGATCCAGGCCCTTGCTCAGATTGAAGGGTGGTACGTAGGCAGTAGCTACTAAATTTTCCAGGCCCGATCTTTTTGGAAACTTTCTAATGGAGGCACTGGTCCATCAGAAATTAATGATAGCACAAAAGGAATATTTTTTTAATCAAGTTACTACCATGTCTGAGGATCACACCGCCAGGAGAAACAGCGTGTGGTTGAGAAACTGAAGTAGCCATTCGAACAAGCTATATCGCTTGCCATTTTCAGCGATCTTTTCGCTCATCCCTTTCAGCGTAAACCTTCTTAGCAGGGCGGAACATATTTTTGACAACCGCTCATTTTATGTAAAAAGATGAGCTGAGTGATAATGGACATTGCTGATTCTGGAGAAGGCGGCTCCGCCGAAACGTCAGCTTAATAATGTTTATTTACAAACGTATGAATAGTCCAAAAAAAGAAGCAGGAGCTTTCCACGACATTAGACAGTGTTTGATGGAAACCGTAAGTTCTGATGGTGTTCCTGCAGTACGGAATTGAATAGACTTAGCCTCGGCAAAGCGCTACCTAGATCAGTGGCCAGGGACAACGGAGGGACTTATTTCATAATTTTTTGGAAGAGGACACCTAGGTATTGGTACAGAATGGTGAGGCTACGTTCACAAAACCACACTTATTACAGTGAGATTCGGTGCCATACTTTGTGTTAAATGGGTGAAAATTCCTACACCCCCTGATGCGAGATCCATTGTCTTTTCAAATTGTTATCAGCAAAATAACTAATTGATCAAAACTGCTACTTTATTGAATGTATAACCAATCTGCATCATGCGTTATTTACCAACTTTACCCATTAAAAACAATTCGGTGCTGAAACCTCATTACTAAAATTATGTCAAACGGCATCGCGTACCGCCGAGCTAGGTTTCGAGTACAATAACTCTCACTCGATCTCATAGCCTTGCACTACTGGTGGCTATGGCACTTTTCAGCTTTTTTCAGGTTCAAGTCGAACTGTTTGGGCTCACTACCACCACGGACCGAAACTGATCATGGCCCAAGCAAGATTGTCGAATCACAGGTTTGACCTTCGTATGGGTCGTACGTTGTACTTACTTCTTCCACTTGATCGTAAGCCGATGAATGAAAACGCTTGTCTTAAAAAAGTCCCTTGACACAAGCGGTACAGTGACTTATACTTTGTTAAGTGACGACGCAGTCTGGTTCATTCTTGGGCTCTGCACGGCACTGATTTTGTCGAGCCGGTGCTCAACTCAGATGATTGAAATTGCATCCGTAACCTCAGGGAATGTGGCGTGCATTTAACTGATTCCGTCCCATTACCGGATTTGCAATCTTTGGTCGGACAAACCTCCACCATAAGTGATCAAAAAATATGAGTGTTTAATATTTAGGGTGGGAGGGGGTGAGTCAATTTCTGCCCAATTCTTTTTTCTTCGCACCTTCCTAGCACCTCCACTCACTCGCCTGTGGGGGACCTCGCTTAATTGGTCGGCTGCTGATCTCTCTGCCAGACCAGGCTCAGGTGTAGCACTATCGGCTTATGAGTTAGAAACTATATTACATTTCAAGTATGAGAAATAAAATAAAGAAAACAAAAAATAAATGTGCAACACAAATCATGCAACACAGAAAGCTATGCAAGTTGTAATAATCATAGGAAAGGGGAAATGAATCAATTGCATCATGGAAACCATTCATCCTTTCAACGCACAAATCAGTTAGCGGAGAGTAACCTTTCATTTTTCGACACCTTGAGTCGATTTTTTGTGGTTACTTGAAGATGTTCAACCATGTGGATGAAAGTATTACAAATCTCCTGGGGGACGGTCAAGTCGTGCGTCCGAGGGTGCGCGCGGCAAATTGCGCGGCGAAACCCATAGCTATTCTGACGACTTTAGTGCCCATTATTTGGGCCCAATTTCGAAGTACAGTAGAACAGTAGGATCAGCTGACCTTACTAATCTACCTTACTTCGGATTTGGGCCCCAAAGGCGCCGGAGTCGTCCAAATTTGCCACGAACTTCGCCGCGCAATTTGCCGCGCACACCCTCGGACGCACGATTTGACACACACCCTAAATCTCCTATGCACTCACTAGAACTGTAGCTCAAAAGCTCTTCCATTTATCCTCAGAAGTCGACAACGCTCTTAGTTCTATGTACCAAAGCCATTTGTTTCCAGACACAATAGGCGCAGCTATAGCTACCTCACATCTGAAGCACACCCAAGCGCAAAGTATGTTGGCGAAAGGCAGGTTAGCAAGAGAGAAAAGCATCACGTACCAACTTAGCATACATAATAAGGCATACATGAAGCACGGATAACGTCCATTGCGCGCGTCCGTCGAAATTAGGTCACCCCATCCAATTCGCGCGCGACGCACCCTACTGGGGCCTCGAGATGACATTACATTACCACCAAATGTCAATTGAGCGAATGATCTGCATTTGTCCGTATTATCTTCTCTTTAAGTGACTGTCTCGGACCAAGTGCAAATCGCATACCCCACTGACAACTGCGACGTTCGTCAAGTATCGCAGGCAGATCCGCCGCATGCGACGGCTGTGGCGTGACCTAGTTTCGACGGACGCGCGCAACGAAGCGTACCCATGTAGCACATAATATGTAGAGCAAAACTGCAAAAAGATGTCTAGATACGTCACTGATTAGGCTACGTAGTTTTCATATAATGTGATGATCTTGAATTTAAACATTGTCTTGTCCTCACTAAATATTATTTTAAAATGTGTAATAATAATAATAATAATAATATTTCCAATTCAGAAAATCAATATTAGTTCACTGGGACTACCAGAGAAGTCAGCAGCCAACTAATTAAGAGGCCAACTAATTAAGAGAGGTCACCCCACAGGCGAGTGAGCGGAGGCGCGAATTAAAGATTTAGGCCCAAATACCGACTCCCGCTCAGAGTGGCTCTGAGGGTGTTATAGCCGAAACAAACCGATTTTTAGCAGGGGGCAGACGTTATGGTGGCAATGTAGCAACAATCTCTTCCATCAATGGGTCCATAGGGCCAACTTAGGAGAGTGTCTCAGCCAAGAAAGTAGTTTTTTTTTACTCAAGCTTTAGAAGAGAAGGAGCACTTGTTTGCGTGGGCCAATTGAATGTTCAAACTTATCCCATCCCAGGTTTTCACACGAGCTGATCATTTCACCCTCTGCGTACTGGTTTTGACTCGCGACAGGGACGAATGGAGACGTTATTGGCGCCCGCTCGATGAATCGATAATCAACGGAACGACAGGTGGCAAGTGACAAGTGAGTCATCTGGCTTACCCCAATGCTCCTCCACTCCTAAGGCTTAGGTAATAACCAAATTCCTTCGGCTGAGAACCGTCTCTAAGCATAAGTAAAGCCGGCTACCACTCCTTCGCTGCGCCTTAGCGCCCGGTGTTAGAGAGGAGGGTGACATTCCACAACTATATCTTCACTTTTTGTCTGCGGAGTAAAGTACACCGAAGTGGGTGAGAGGCTGATTTCGAGGAAAAGCTCGGATGGACGAGGAATCGACCATTAATGTACTATCTCGATGAAGTGTATCTCAGAAAACCAGGGAAAGGTTGCTAAAACGAGTGAGGGCGAGATGGAATTTCCTTCCTCCCAGCTGTATTTCGTTTACCAATGACAAACATATAAAATGTCTATCACCATGACGACACCTTTCGAAATTCTCAAATTAGAATCAGAACAACAGGACGCCAGCATGCTGCCCACGCCTAAAGGTTGTAGTAGGTGTGAGATCACGATACACACTGCGCCGTCATTACTGTTTGCCTTTAATGCAGTGAGCAATTTCTATGAGCTTCTAAAGTCTACTTCTTATCAGCTGTGGATTATCTCGGGTCAAGTAAGTGAACGATTTTTATTCTGAAACTGTTTAGATTTGATTTTCGGTCTTGATTTTAAGGTTGCTTATTTGCTTACTTTTGTGGTATAACTAGGCATATTTCTGAGGCTTTAATTGCTAACAGAGATTTTTCACATCGAAAAATCTGGGACAACTCTAAGAATGAGGGAAATCATGTTTCAACAGTTGTGTTATTTTTTGATAGCTGTAGTAAGATTGTAAATACAATATAGGCTGTATGATGCGGACCAGTTGAACCACAGAAAAAAATGTTTCTAGGGATAGTTCTATGTGAGCAGGACTGATCTAAAAGATGGGTTTTCCCTTCTAGAAAAGTCCACATTGGTTTGTATTTACGGAAAAAATCTGGATTGGCTTTACAATTGCAATGGATGAACAACCGAATGTTTACAATGATACATATTTAAGACCAATTTAACCTCATTCATTCTCGTTCTTTTTCCTTAACTCGGATCTGTTTAGGTGCCACGACTGAGTGGCTTAGTATGGCATCGCCGTATGTTGCGAGCGGGTCGTTATCCCAAGAAGATCTCCATAGGATGTTGTCACCGAGATTAGCAAGTAAGCTTTTTAATCTTACTTGGGGATAACCTACTTGAGAACCCTCATAAAACCGTCATAAGTACCGTAAGTAATCCTGTTGCAGCCTGTTGATTAGACGTTTTTTCGGTCCTTTTTGTTACCTTTCTGTTCCTGAAAGTCATAGGAAGTAAACACAGAGGATTGAGAATGTTTGTCGCGGGGATACCCTCAATTAAATACTTTTGTTCTTCTGCTTGTTGGATAGACTTGCACCTTCCAAATGAGTCACTTTATTACGTTACATTCACTTGTTTTTACTTTACTTTATCGTCATTTGCGTAGTGATGCAATAGTCATTCAACAGGCAAATGTACGTTTTCAATGAAGAATCTTCCCAGCTTAACATATCCCCATGTTCGAGAACAAAATCATGACCAACTCAGCAGGTATGAAGTGCACCGTGAGATTTGTGACAGATGTCCAGTCCTTCTACGCACTTTTACGGACTGCTGCAGTCTTTTCCGCAAGTTTTGGTCTTTTAGAGTTTTGATCGAATCTTAATCGTTCCATCGGTTCTGAAGTAGCTTGTCGAGTTTTATGAAGAGAGCAGCCAGTGCGCATCGAGTAACTACGGGGTCGTCGGTGATGCGTGGCCATGAGTCACTGACCCTTATGTGACACCTCTCAACCTTTCCCACTCATTAGATTTCTGTACTTTCCACTGATCGGAAGTTTTTCTTAAGCAGTGCCTCTTGTTTTCGGAGGTGTAAGATATAGTCTTGAAATTACAGTTGTTAGCCAGCGCGACTGAGTTCTAATAGCAATCAATATCTGCGTTTACGCATTGTAAAATAACTACGAACTTGATGGTTTGTAAAAAACTTGGTTCTCACGATGTCAATGTCGTCGGAAATCTCACTTCAGTGATGAGCAAATGAATTAGCATCACGAGAATTTTTGACTAGAGCACAATCATAATTCTCTTTTTTTGAGGATTTCGTAACTACGTTCTATTCTCATTCTTTTTTTTTTCGAATGAGTAGGCCTAATTAGTGTAGACCCGAATAATTCCATGTCCGTGGTCATCGGTGGTCTATTTGGCATACATATTTCCGAAAGATCCTGAATCGGGATAGATCCCGCTGTGAACTGAGTTCACATGATTTCATGTAAACTGCTTATTTTCCAATATTTGAGGTGAATTTCGGCAAGGTTTTTGTCAGATAATGTGCAATTACGTTCGGCAATCGATTTAATAGGTTCGGCTCCATTCCGATGCTATACTTTTGAAATATTGCAGAGTTGTCAGCTGAAAGAGAACGAGAACAACCTTCGCTTCGAAATAGGCGTCCTCCTGGTTCTAGCGCCAGTGTGGAAGATGTGGAAGATTTTAATGTTAGGAATCGTTCCTTACCCGAACAGTTCAGAGGTAAGAATGAGTTCTTCTATCACATTAGTAAGAGAATTCATTAGTAGAGACGCAACATTCACAAATGTTTTATTGTAAACAATGCTATTCTGATATCGAGTCAGCAATATGAATACATTAACCCATGACTAATATTGGCATCTACACGATTTTGACGGTTTGGGCAATCATCGAAAGCGAGTATATGGCAGCATTAGTCATCTGTTAATATTTGTCGATTCATATTTCCGCTTACTGTCATTCTGTACTGCTGGATTCCAGTTTCTGAAAAATTTTCCCTGGAAACGTATTCAGCCGAGCCTGTCAATTTTATTCTTTTGCAAACTGAATTTGATAATGTGGTAGCCATGTATGAACTTAGTAAACTGCAATTTTGGGTGTGCAAGAACTATTATTAATAAATCACATTCACATCACTTTATTTAGATTTAGTACGGGAGCTCAGCGACTATCTGTTGGATAGTACTTTTTTGGACTGTATTTTTGATGTTCATCGGGAAGCTTCGATTTTGCATCGTCATGGTTTACAAATCGATAGCCCACCACCAACCCCCAGTCATGAGGTAATCTTTTTGCTTTCACGCTGTGATTTATGTATAAGCACGCTTCTAGTAAATCTTACTGTTGTAGGATTCCCCGCAGTCCAGTTCTGATACTCCAAGGTCGAGACCCCCGGAATCGAATGCACAAGTAACCTTTTTCATTATTTGTTATTATAATATTTGAATGGAAATCAAGACTGTAGGGTTCTGTCAAAATAAGTTGTTGTGAAAAACATGAGGAAAGAGACCGCAGTATCGGCCTTATCTCATTTTGAATCCAGTCAGGATATTCTTCAGCTTAAGGAAGTTGAACAACTATGCTCTCCCTTCTTTCTGCATTCGTCGACAGGCTGTTCTATAATAAACCAGTATTCCTTTTCTTAGATCTTCGATCATTTTCTCGTTCCCATAATGTTAGGCTCGATCCTGCTTAAATGCGTGTTTTTGCTGCTCAAGCTCCCAACTGTCGAAGGGTATTCACGAAAGCTGAGCGCACCTTTGCTGTAGCTTTGTAACACGATGGGGGATAGCTGATAAGGCAACACATCTTCATCTCCACTCTCCTTGGAATCGCCTCTACGTGTGGAGTTTTAAAAAACCCGTTTTCCTGATTGTTGTGAAATGGCCGATTGATGCCAACCGTTAGCGATATCAGCTCTGTGCCTAGCCCAACGAATATATTTCGCGAACTTGTATCCTACATCTCTGTGAGCGGCTTGAAGCGGCGCTCGAAACAGCTCAGCCTCGATATTGGAGCGCACATTTTCTTCGGGGCGCGGAATTCGCCAACTTTACATTTGCAGTAGCGGACAAGTGTGGTTGGGTCTCCGAGGAATGGATTTGGCGCCTGTGTGGGTTGAGTGAGAGGGCGGTATTTCTTAGGTACCTTGCAATTGAATTCTGTCTCTTCCAGTGGTGAAGTGTTAGGCGAAGTCTTTCTAACCGTAACCATAATTTGTGAGAAACGAACTTAATTGATAGAGATTGCTTATCATATTGGACATTTTCGAATCCTCTAAACTAACCATAGCAGAAAATAGCTTTACATTAATGGTTGGAAATCGGTGGCAATGAGAAGCCAATGGTTAATTGAGGCGGGCTGATATCTGGTCGGGATTCCAATTTGTGGTTGTTTCCGGAAATAATGTATGTGGGTTACAAGCAATTTTCGCATTCTCCGGAAAACAGGGGCAGATAGCAAGATATTTGAGTTTCAACCGAGTTTTGGCTTAGCGGTCGTAGCACTGAGACGCGGATGCAGACTCCTAGCATTTCAAAAAGCTCAAAGGGTTGTTTATTAAAAACAGAAAGTGTCTGATAGATATCACAAATGGCGAATAAGTATGTGTAGAACATTGAATGTATGGTATAGAGATGCTGCTGAATGAGCATACTCTGCATGAGCTTATCAGGGAGAGACTATGGAACCTTATGATCAGCGTTTATCAATTTGTCCATGGTCCTCATATTGTGTCCGTCAATCGAAGCAATCGGTCAGGGTTTTTTTTGGCGTGGTCATAAGCTCTAGGGATTTGAAGTCAAAGAAAACAGCTAAAATAAAACTCGAACATTGGAGTCATGCGGTTGGGATTTTCTACTAACGCTTACGTCTGACCAGTGGTAGTTTTGGACAGCTTAGCCGCATAATGAGACAGAATTTCATGCCTCTATAGTCGAGGGTACGATCTCACCATAATGTAGGTGTTTCGAGTTCGCTTATGCTCATCATTTTTGATTAAGAATGTTCTTCCCCCGGTTTTGTGAAAACAGTGAGGTTCACAGAAAGCAGAAAACCGCATAAAAAAGGGAAAGGGATGTGGGATGATGTTCCATTTCAAAACTCATTGTAGGAGATCACATAAAGCCCTTTTTTGTTAAACGCCTTGCTTTCTTTCTATTTGTTCACGTATGTATAAAAAGCTTGCATTTAGATCACTGTCAAGTGTCGTGTTTGCGGACGAATGGTAGGCGCGAAAGTGTTCGAGAAACATATAATCAACTGTAGAAAATTAGACGGCAGCAGAAGCAGCTCACGGTTAATTTACTTGAAACGTTTTCCGTTATTAAAGAAGTCTCTGAACGTCTCTTTCAGGGCGGCTGCTAAGAAGATTGCTGAACAGGAAATGATTTCTGAGAGTTCCTTCAACGATGATGATTTCATTGTACGTTATATGTTCATCATCTTTTAACTATCCAGTTGAATTGAATAGTTGAAGAAATGAGCTTCGAAAATGAACCGTTGGCTTAGAAGAAAAAGATTGGAGAATGAGAAGGACAGCTATGGTATTTTTTCTATGCATCTATCCTCCAGTTGTTGGCTGCTTTCATAGTCCACGAGCGAGCAAGCACCGCCCCAATCGCTCGCTCACTCGGTCGGTCGGTCGGTCGGTCGGTCGCTCGCTCGCGGGCCAAATCGTGGACTATGAAAGCAACCGTTGAGTATTTCTGAGTAAAAAGCAGTGCCAAGTTAGTGATTAGCCACCATTCGTTTTATGGATATAGTTCCAGAGTTTAGAAAGGTGGAGTGTAAGGTGTACGATTTGTGAGAGGGCTATTCTGTTTTATCAACTGAAATGACTCAAACCTAAAAGCCCTCTACCGAATCATGTCCTTTTCCTTATAATTGCAAACATATATGCGTGACCTACGAGAGGAAATGTGTATATGTCTGATGAAGTTTGTTTCAAAGTAAGTCAGGTACAATCATTCCCTCCCTCAACGACGGCTTTCACTCGCTCCTTATGTCAAATCTCTGAGCTGCGGGGTAGATTGGCTAGCAGGAAGCTAGTCATTCAAAGTTCTCCTAATACCAAACTATTGAAGAGTTTCTGGGATGAAGACTGTGGTGGTATGGAAACCGAGGGACTACCTCTTATATTTTTACGCCCATTTTACTCGTTTTTTTAGTTTTTTTTTNTTTTTTTTTCCTGTTACTTTGCCCACAAATTAGTTTTGCTTTTATTTTTATGCCTTATACCCTCACGGCAATTGATTTTGTCATTTGCCTTAATGAATTTTACATGTAGTGATGTCCTTGTTGTAGAGTCCAATGCCTGTGCCTACATCTTCTGGGGATGATGAGGACTGGAATGCTCCGAGAAAAAGGCGGAGGACTAGAAAGCGGAAGTTGTGAAATTCCTTTCAGTATTCTGCGATAATATTATAATTATTATTTCTACAAATGTGCCCATCTCTCCGTCACAGTTGCCCAATTTCACATGATATTTTTTTACGTGTATTTATTCTGATAAGAGTAGCTTTGTTTCCATTCACGTGTGACGTCATGATGCGAGGTTGTGTTCGCGGTATGATGTGTGATTGTCTTTCCCCGCTATGCGTTGAGTCTCTCCTCTAACGCCGTGCTTCTTTCTAATTCATCGTTATCTTTAGGGACCGTTCTCATTTTAGCATCTAACATATGCCCCTAACCGCAGCTTAATGCTCTTACCTACGGGTGAATAGGTCTATACTGTTGCTTTGAGAGAGAATTTTCTATAAGTCCTCGTTTCTGTTCTCGACTCAGGTGCTGTCTTGAATTGTGATGAATCAGGTTTATAAAAAGGTTTATCTGATTGGCACTTTTTAGCCCTTCTTAACTAATACAAATAGGACATCGTTATACTACTGTAACCGTTATATTTGCTCAATTACGGTGTTGTGGTGAAAGGAACAAAAAGCGTTAATTTCTGCTTTTGACAGTTGATCAAAGCTTATGAACAATTAAGCTGAAAGACATTCAGGAAAACGATTTCATATTACCTGTGTGCGACATGGGCTGTGTTACTTGCCCTTCAACAGTAAAAGGATAAAGGGTAAAGTTTTTGGCGTTAATCAATCACGTCTGAGGGGTGCGCCCCGCACTCGACATCTATTCAGAATCGTGGTGGCGTAATGAGTGCGTATGTGGCCTATACAANNNTGGTTGGCCTAGGCGGGCATCGATCCGGGATTCGAACCCCTGACCTGATATAGTGCGCCACTTGCCACTACACCACCTCCAGGAAACGCGCGGGGTGGGAGCATTTGAGAACATCGACTGAGTACTGAAGAAGACGAAGAACATCCGCCTCCGCGCTCACCTTTTCGACACTACGGTTATTTTTGCTTTGACTACGCCTCAAAGACCTCAGAGACTTGGACTCTACGAAAAACATGCTGTCAGCGTTACTCAACGCGCTTTGGAAAAGGCGATGCTCAGAATTTTCCTATACACAAGTGCAGAAGGGAATCCGGTGTTCTAAGTTCCGTCATCGAGCGATGATCAGGGATGCCGTTGATCACACCAAGAAACCGAAGATCAGGTGAACCGCACACGTTGTGCGGTGTAGTGACGACCTTTGAATCAGGGCCGTTACTAACTGGATCCCTCTGGACGTAATGCGAACCCCGTCAACGAGATCGTCAGCCTTTTTCGGGAAGCTCTGACTTGCCGAGGGCCCCTTTTCCATGCGTCGGATATGTAGCGGGTGAAAATTCGTGCACTCAGATAAGATTATGCCGTGAAATGAAAAATATATTGTTCACAGAAATTCTGCAGAATTCGTTGCCTTTGATGCCTTCCGCTCTGTGCCGTCACTCTTCGAAGTACTGGAAGAGGTGTACTGGAATAAGAATGGACATTCGCTAAAGTACCTTTCAGCATTGTGCTTAGAAAGTAGTTAATCGAAGACGCGGGAATGAAAAGAGCAATTGATCCAAGAAACATTTTGCGGAAAATAGATGAGAGGAAGCATCGGAAACTTCGGAGAGAGCATACCAAGAATGATGACGAGCTCGTCGAAGCAACAAGTAGAAGTGCTCAACTGGATGAGCTTGTTAAAAGGTCTTGCCGTCAAGGTAAAAAAAAACCTGGTTTCCGCAGAAAGGAGCAGAAGCCCAACATACTGCGGAACGTGGAGACTCGAAACCCTTTACCGCATTGTTAAGAATTGAAAGGAATTTAAGCGATGCCAATTTGCCATCAAAGGCAGTGATAGCAAGCTTCTTTTTAGCGCAGAAGAACAGAATGAGAGATGGCTTGAGTATTCCGAAACACCCTTAACCGGCCCAAAGCACTTACTGTTTCGAGCTGATGGAGTCGACTAAGAAGCTTGACGTCAATGTTGGCAGAATAGCCCCAGAATCGACAGCCAGAACAATTTAGTACTTCGAAACAGTAGAACCTCAGGCAGAGATGAGATCTCAGATGAATTAATGAAGGCAGTGGCAGTACGGTAGTGAAGAAGTTCACGGAATTTGTAATCGTCGCTGAAATGGAGGAAAGAAATCACTGTGAAGCTTCCTAGTAAGGAAATTTGTAGGACTGTGAAAATTGGAGTGGTATAGCGTTTCCTTCGGTTTCAGGAAAAACATTTTGCGTCACACTGCTGTGACGAGTCCAATACGCAATTGATAACCAAGTAAGGGAAGAACAGGCTGGGCTAGAGAAGTAGGATTGTGTCCTGAGCAAATTTTCATTTTCCGTAACATTATCGAGCAATGCATTGAGTCTAACCATGTGCCCTTCATCAACTTTGTGGGCTTCAGAAAGGTGTATGATAGCATACGCTGTGAATCTTTATGGGAAACCCTCAAAATGAACGGCATACCGAGGCCTTTTGTTCGCTTACTCGAGAATCTGTACCTCAAGTTATCTTGCTGTGTAAAGACGGATACAGAATATAACGCGTCCTTCAGAACCGCCACGAGAGTGCAGCAAGAATGCAGTCTTTCTCCTATGCTTTTTAACACCTACCTAGATTTTCCCATAAGGAAAGCGATACAGCGAACAACGGCAGGCGTAAGCTGGTTGAGGGATGGAAGCTCACTGGTTTGGACTTTGCGAATGACATAGCACTTATTGCTGAAAACAAAGACGAGTCGCAAAGGTCACCGATCCCGTCAATAAAAAAGCGAACATGACCGGATTACGAATCAGCGCCATTTACCCTTTGACTACCGTAGTGCTTTCGCGCTGGCTGGCGCATGTGCCCCGTATTTTCTTCAGAATTTACGCCCCTACGTGACTCGCGACGTACAGCACGCGGCCACAAGAGCGGTTTTCTGAAGAAATCACAAGGTATATGCTGTTCGAACTTTATTCTAAGCCAGAAGTGATTCTGCACTAAAACGCGGTCACGCAGAGACGAAGGTTCGAGCTGGACCATGTACTGCACGCGGTGTACAATGAGTTCATTTGAAAACCACGTCAATCGCTTAAGTTTATACGCAGGTGAACATCAACGCGGAAATAAAATTTTGGAAAGTGTCGACAAATTTACCTCGGCATTATGATAATCCATAATGGCGATATCGAACAGATGTTTGTATTGCAAAAGCTGAATTGCAAAAGCTACAAATGTGTTCAAAAGATTCCAACCAATATGATCCCTGTAGTTGATATCCCTTGGAGCATTAAGCTGGCTTGTGCTCTTCTATTGTGATTCCTATTGCAGTCCATGCAGGCGAAACGTGGAAGTGTATGGCGAGCTCAGTCAAAAAAGGATAGTTTAATCAGAAGTGTCTGCGAAAGATTATGAAGATACAATACACGGATCACATCACAAATGACGAAGTTCTGCGTCGCTCTGGTGAAAATAGCCTGCACGTGATTGCGGCACGGCGCAGACTTCGGCTGGCCGGCCATGTGCTTCGTTTGCGGCAGCAGCGAATCCCAAAAAATGGCCATCTATCAGACGCCTGAAGGAGCTAGACGAGGAAGAGAATGTTCCAGAAACACGTGGAGAAGAACCGTTCGATAATGAACTCGAAGTCATGACTGTATTCAAGAACGCGGGAGCAGTTATCGCACAGGATCCGTAGCAGTGGAAAGGATTTATCGCCTGATTTGCTCAACAGCGTGGGAGGTAGTAAGTCTAAGTCCAAGAAACACTGATGGATTCTCTGTTAGCCTGTTTCAGGATCGAGCCGGGTTTGAAAAAAACCGCTTTGCGGACGACGTGCTCGCGACGCATTGAGCAGGCGGAAACAAAAACAGAAAATATTGCTTTTAAAGCAGCGTAAGATATATTGAAAAAAACCTTGATGTAGGTTGAGGTGTTGCGGAAGGCCTACGAAATGCATCACCTGTATCATCTGTCAACCCGTTGATCATCGATTTCCTCGAGCGGGAGCCAGTGATGTCTTCATTCGTCCCTGTCGCGAGCCGGAGTTGTCCAGTGAATCGTACTTGGTCGAGAGACATGGTACAAAGCCTTCCTTTCGTTCGGAGCTTCGCCAAGAAGAAGTCAGACCATCGCGCTGGAGACGGTCCTGGTGTTCGTTCGACGTCTTGAGGTATGCACTCAGTAAAGCTCTGGTTCTGAATCATCATTTAGCCATTGCAATGGGAAGCGAGAGTGAAATTATGAGAAATCATGTTGCCGTCATGCCAAAAGTGTTGTAATTAATTCTGCGCTTTATTCCTAGCACTGTTGTGTGGCAGTGAGTGCATGAGCCAGCAGGGAAAACGAGCCAACCATCTTTCAAGAACGGTTGTTAAAGAACAATCTTTATAAGTCAACTTTTACAGGACAGCATACACACCACCATGTTGATGGTGTTGGTGAAGGACCATGTTCAATCAAAAAACGGTACGCTTCTCAATGAAATACCTTCAGACCAGATCATGACCAGATTGCGTAATGATTTCATGGTGCATCCCTATATTGCTGATGTTCAGCAACATGCACTTCTATACAGCATTGAAAGCGCTTTCCACCACCATTTCACGCCGCTGTAAAAGGCAGAATGTTGATGAGAAAAGCTTGAATTAAACGTTGATTAGCTGAATGCTTTCGCTATTCTGCCTGAGTTCAAACCATTACACCGATGGAAACGACAATCTTGGTGTCGTCGGTGCTGATCCTTTGAGCCTATTCTAATTGCTTGTGGCGCCCTACATGTCGAGAATGTCTAAGGAGCAGATGGTATATTGTTCTTCTTCATTTCATGCTGAAGCCTTTCGCTGATGCCAGAAAACAAATTAACAGCTAACTTGTAGATGTCGTTCAATTCTGCTGATACACCATCTTCGCTGTACTTATTGGTCGATGAACATGCTGGCGGTATTCTAGTTCCGTGGATAAAATACTCACGATCAACAGGAGACTACAGTATACTCGAGGAGTACCTGGACACAGCTGTGCGTTCCCACTGGGTTCATTGAGGGTTTTTGAATATTATTCTTATAGGGTGTTTTTATTGAGAGGAATGTTCCATGTTTGGAAATTGTAGAAATTTAGGAAGAAGTAGATATTGCATTTTTCAAATTAGCTTTCCCTATTGGGCGTTCTAGCCCATGAAATAGATTGAATTGACATTCTTGATAAAAGAGACCATGAAATGAATGCTCTGACTTTGAAAAATTTGCTCTAGGCAGAATATGTAAAAAGATCCTCCCTTCTTCATACGAAGTACCTCCATACTTGAGGCTTTAAGTGTCTGTTTGGGTGCCTTAATCTCTCTAGGCCGAGCGGAAACGGCCAAGTTATCGGATATTCGCTTTCAGCGATCTCCCAAGTTTAGAAAATTTTCTAATGAACGCTACAACTACATAAATCTTTGTTTTGTGAGGTGGTGTCCCAGCTCAACGAGGACCTGTATGTTGGGAATTCCTCAGGAAAGCTTTATGATGATTTTAGGTCAAGTCCTTTCTCTATAATGGTGGTAAGGGAAAACTTGTCTCAATCTCTGTACTCGTTAAACGCAGAAACAAGGAGGTGAGAAGATTTTGGTGAAAGTTTCATCGTAGATCGAAGTAAAAGTTATAGTATTACTTATTACGGATTTATTTGATAGAGTATATACAGAGGAATTCTCAACTCGGTGCTCTTCGAAGAAAAAAAGGTCGAGGAAAAAGTGGTCCCAACATCCTTGATGACATCAATCAAGATCGCCTCGGCGCCGATGATTTCCTAAAAGGTGACGCTCAACAAGTTTCTCAGTGGCTCTGCTGATTTAATGAGAAAGATTACTGCAGCTCTTAAAATCCTCGATGGATTTAGTGCATGTGGTCAGAAAGTGTTTAAATACCGCGAGTTGGTCTGGGATATAGAACAACGAGGTGAGCCTTTTTCACAAAAGACTCAAACGAGGTAGAATTATGGCCCAAGAGAAACAATC